AATCAACGATGAGATTGCAAGACAYGGRTAAGGGAAGGAGACCGATGGTCAGTTTCTGAGCTCATAGACATCAACCCACACACGTATCATTTCGGGACGGCAAAACGTGATGATTTATGTCGACTGCACGGTCCCAAGGTAATGGAAATACTCGATGGTTGCAACCTCACGGGATTCGTCAGGAAATGACTAAACAGYCGAGAAGGATATTTCGACRAAATTGAGTCAAGGAACATGTTCCACATTGCCGCTGACTACGTGGTGGACCACATATGCATGGAGTACGTCGACRACGAATATCCCAAAAATGGGGATGTTTATGTTTGGGCGTTGGGTATAATTCTATGCTACCTGTTGTGTGGTTATCCTGCGCTGACGAACACCAAAGACAAGCAATGCTACAACAATATTGGCATCAGACCCCCATCGAACTCCGAACTCCGAAAATTGTTGGATGCAAGCGGGCGAACATATCCAAGAAAAAGGTGGAATTCACTTTCACCYCTTGCTAGGACCGTCGTCAAGCAATGTACRCATTGCAGTGGTCCTGGATATAGACCCAGCTTCTTTGAGTTGAGGAGTGAATATTACAAGGGATCTTATATCCAGTTCAWCGTCATGGGATGGAATGCTATGTCRGATGATCAACTGTGGAGAGTAATGAAAGGAAAATAATGTCTCTACAAACACGGCTTATGTACCAGTTCCGGATGGATTTCTGAAGMAGAGTTCGATCRATACGAAGAACACAAACTAGCAAGGAAGAAAAGGGACAATCAACGTAGTTTGGAGAGTGAACGCAACAGTCTTGTATGGGAAGCTTTTATGACGAAGTCTTCGGGCTTGGGAAAAAAGAAGCGGATGAAACTTTATGGGTCGTTTGCGACAGATGAGACGCGGGAGGAAACTACTGAGCATTACGACGAAGATGTTGTCATCAAGGAAGCTATTGTATATCTGATGTCAGATGGCAAATGACTGTGTTTTGACATACACTACAGCACTGTAGCCTCTTCAACATGTAACCATTTGGCGATCAGCTGGCAACAAATTTTATTTTCTTAAAGACAGTTGGTAATCGATTGGCGTATACCGACATAAGTGCAGAAACGTATGTTACAATCTTCGTTATCACGTAACGATGTTACGGAATNTATCTTTTGTGTTCAGTGTATCCAGTGACCGAAGAAGATTGAAGGCCGGGAATAACCTCGTCACAGACAAACTTTAAAACATCGTCAGGGTGCCACGRTGAATTTTTAKTACACTGTTCCGTCCACTCCATTCGAGGCACACCACCACRTTCRAATATATGGAACTGCGAACCACACGATATACCGTCAGGGTTACTGGAAACRTTGGCCGAAACCGTTGAAGACCGAAATYGGTYGGCATGCTCAAACAGGTCAAACTCTCGATCCAACCTATCTATTCTTCTATACTCCAGGATAYGTTTACATGTTTGCTTGATTAAGGTGTCTTTGATTTGCTGTGTCCTTTTGGCAGGTGCTTTCACTTCAGTTTTATGGTTGCTCTCGCTTGGAGCAGAGTCCCARCCAGACKGCGGCCCAAAACATCTTATGTACTCGGATAAGTGGAAGTACATGTGATTCTTTATCAGATTGTTTCCGTCCCCTTTACTGCRGCGGAGGTTCAGGTCTAATRTAGCGACAAAAAGTACCGCCATCTTGTCGAGGTTGGTTACATTGTGATCGTCAACTTTCATAACTTCTGAGATGCTACCCGAGTACTTGAGGAATTCTTCCATTCCTAATA